ATCCTTGTTTTTCTCTTATTGACATTAAAACAAGGTAATAATCCAGTCTTTTGTTAGAACATTATAAAAGCAGCATCAATTCACTTATTTTTTGTAAAAAATCAAATAACAAAACTTTCAAATAATCATCATTGAATACAATTTTATTTTGTTTAAAAAACAAATAATCAATAAATGTTTTCATCCATAATAACACTTAAAAATGCTTACTTTTATTGTGAAATTTTTTATAGACCATCTATTGGACTCTTTCTTGGTTTCTTGCTTCACTATAAAACTTACAAAAATCAACTCTAAATTGTAAATCAAAAAATGGATCAAAATAATCAATAACATAGAACCAAAAAAATGGCAATTTAAAGATAATTGTACATACTTACTAGTGATAAAAAATATTCAAAAGGATTTCAAAAAGTTATCTGACAAAAAGATTGAGTTTAATCCCGATTTTCATTTATTGAAATGGCCATTGAAATTCACTTTTTACTTGAAGAAAGAAAATGAATTGTTATTTCTACAATAAAAAACTTCTGCCAACAAAAAACAAATCATAGGAGAAAAACATTAGAAGCAATTCAGAAGTGGCTTGAGAAAGAAAGAAAAATACTTGCTTGTCAAAACATGTTTGGTAAATTATTTCAAGCTGAGAAAACAATTCAATTATTGTACTTTCCTTCTCCAACCAATTATATAGTAAAAAATTTATGCCATTTTAGGCAACTACAAATTGTAGTCATAAAGATTTTTGTAGAAGTGAAAAATTATTCCATTCAATATGGTGTATATTTTGGAACTTTATATTTTTTAACAAAATCTTGAAAAATAATATTATAAACCAAAGTGTTGGTGGTCATCATATTTTTGAATATAGTTAGTTTTTTCCAAGACTTTTTAAGTGATATAAATTTTTTTAAGGTGTTTTAATTAAAGATAAAACCTTTGTTTTCTTCACTTCGAAATACATCAATGCTGGAAAAATCAATCTAATCTAGTTTAGAATGATATTTAATGGGTCCCTTTTATAAATTCAAAATTATTGAACACCAAAATTATGGAGTCATTTCAATATTGACACCATTTCTGATAAAACTTGATTATTGGTAATACAATTGTGGCATTGATTGATTGGCTCAATAAAATCAATGTTTTTAATAGAGAAAAAAAAAATTAAACCCGTATATATTTATTGCTGAGAAAAATTTTATTTCACAAAATTTTTCCCAAATCATACAACAATGAGCTGTAAGCATTATATTTATTTTATTTTTTGTTTAGAGATTTTATTAAAATATTTAAACAAAATAACCTTGAACAGCAAAAACATATTCAGAACTTTAGAATAAAATTAAAGGGTTAGAGAAACAAAAACCTGAATTAATTAAACAGGAAAAATTTAATTATTCAAGAGTTATTCAAGAGTTAACCGAGTAAAAAGTCAAAATGGTAGTCCAAACTCAAAATACTGCAACAAAATCAGGTTCAAATTTAGTCATATAGGACTCTATTGAAAACGTAATCCTTGACCATAAAAAAAAAACAAGGTAAATAATTCCATCTTGTGTTTGAACATCACCAATTCACCTACTCTCGGGGAAAAAATCAAACTAATCAAATCGCAAGTCCTTAATAATTGCTATTTAATTTTTGTTAGATAACATTTAAAAAAATGCTTCACTATAAAAACTTACAAAACCACATAACCATGCACTCATCTTTTCCGATAAGTCATAAGCGGCACCATGGGCTTCTAATACTCAGGCTTCCATTTCCCCGATTCACAGAGAAAAATAATTGAAATCAGGGTTAAGGATCCTGCCGGCTTTTACCGGCAAAATTGGCGATCTTTTTCCTTTAATATTAATATTAATATTAAGTAATTTTACCGGGAAAATTGAAGACCAGTCTTTAACCCTGATTTGAAATTGAAAAAAAAACAATTTTTTGTTTTGTTTTAAAAAAGAGCATGGTCAACAGATTGTGAACCAAGTCTGTTTGTAACAAATTGATTGTTCTTCTGTATCAGAAAAGTCCTTCCGAAGGAAATGATGAAGAAATATTAGATGAGGAAGACAATGATAGTATAATGGATGAGGATGAGGAACAGGTCGTCGTTGTGATGGTGGATTCAGATATGAAATATTAATAATGAATTATTATTATGTTTTACTATCATTATTAATTATTTTGTATAACATTGCCAAATTAATCTTTATTTGTTTTTAATGATAAATTGCTTTAATAAAAAACATTTATTTTATTATTATTTTTGTGTAGTGGTTTGATCTTCTTCTTCCTCTTCAGTATTTAAACCAAGTAAATCTGCTTTCTTTTTGGCTTGGCGTATAACACGACGTTCTCTAGCAGCTTTGGCTTTTTGACGATGAGCTTCAGCTTGATCACTAAATGAATAATTATTGAAGGAGATAAAATATTAACTTCTACCAACATTAATAACAATAAACAATCATTGATGATATCAGTAATGATAATGATAACATACGCTAATGTTTTGGTACGAGCTTTCTCAGCTTTAGCCTTATGAATATATTCCATCAATACACGTTTATTTTTGAATACATTACCCTTTGATTTCATGTACAATTGATGGTATCTAACAATTAATCAATTAATATAAATAATTGGTAAAAAGTATGTAATTGATAAATTTCACATAATAATAAAATAGTTATAAAGATCATATTCACTTACAAATGTTTATCAATTTTCTTAGCTTCCCTATATTTTCTTAACAATCTTCTCAACACTCTTTGCCTTCTCATCCATAATACTTCGGTTGGCATACGAGCATTTGATGTACCTTTTCTTTTACCAGGTCCGGTATGACGACCTTTACGTTTAGCTTCTAATTTTTCTCTAACTCTGAATCGAGAATGAATTATTTGTGGTTTTCTGATAATAAAACCATCTTTTACAAGTTTACGAATATTTTGACCTATGATTGTCAATAATTAATTGGATTGGTTGATTGATTGATGAATAATTAATTAATCAATTGATTGATTGATTGATTAATCATCTTTAAAAAGAATTTTATCAATAGAGATTAAAAATTCTTACGAGAATTAGCATTAGAAATCTCTCCAACTTCATTGGGATCCAACCATACTTTTCTTTTGCCACACCCAAGTACACTAGCCGCCAACTTTTTTTGACTTCTTAAATTCACCCTTAATTTGTATATGAGAATAAAGCAATTTTAAAAATAAAATCATTTTTGAGTTGGTTTTTTAAAAAAAAGTTAATCTTACATTGTTAGAAAACAATATTAAATAAATTCTTTGAAAAAAAATTTTTTTTTTTTTTTGATTTTAAATCGTTACACGCAAATTTAATCAATTTTCTCTAAAAGATGAATTAAATAATTTATTTTTTTAAAAAATGAATAATGAAACTACAATTGAATTTGCAAAAAAAGCTCGAGAAGCAGCAACTAAACTTCAATATGTCTCAATTGAAGAAAAAAGTATTGCGCTAAATAAAATTAAAGAAAAAATATTTGAACATAAACAAGAAATTTTCGAATCTAATGAACATGACAAACTAGTAATTTATTATTTGTTTTGCGGTTGGAAAATAGAACTTGAGATAGTTACTCTTGACTGATTAACTAAAGGTTAAAAATTAATTATTAATTATATATGACTTTTAGAATGCAGCAGAACTTGTAAAGACTGGTGCACTTCCACAGTCATTAGTTAAACGTTTAGATATCACAAGTGGAGATAAGTTTATTACTATGTTACAAGGAGTATCTGATATTGATAAATTGCCTGATCCAACCGGACAAATCACATATTCCAGTAAACTTGACGAAGGATTAGAATTGTATCGAGTAACTTGTCCTGTTGGAGTTTTATTGGTGATATTTGAAGCAAGACCCGAAGTTATTGTTAATATTTCAGCATTATCAATAAAATCAGGTACAAATAAAATTTTGGTTAATTAAATATTTATATCGTTTTTGTTAAATATTAAAAACCAAAAATTTTTTTAAAGGCAATGCTGTGATATTAAAAGGAGGAAAAGAATCAATTGCTACATTAAATGCGCTGTATTCATCAATTAAATTAGCTTTATCAGAAACAGCAATTCCACAAAGTGTCATTCAACTTGTTGAAACGCGAGAAGAAATTAAAGCATTATTAGATTTAGATAGATATATCGATTTGGTGATTCCACGTGGAAGTAACAGTTTAGTGAGATATATACAAGAGAATACAAGGTATTTATAAAAACATTGATGAATAAATGTTCATAAAATTTATTTGTTTTCAATATTATAATAAAATATATAATTTAATAGGATTCCTGTTTTAGGACATGCTGATGGATTATGCACTGTGTATGTTGATAAAGATTCAGACCTTAAGAAAGCAATACGTGTTGTCATTGATTCCAAAGTATTATATAAAATCATATTATTATTTTTTCAAATAATGTTAATGATTAATTCAACTGTTATGCATTTATTAACAAATTTGTTATTAATTCTCCAAAAATATCATAGATAAATTATCCTGCAGCTTGTAATGCAGCCGAAACTCTTTTGATACACCGTGGAATTCTTTCTACACATCTTCAACCTATAATAAATGCGTTATTGGAAGCTAATGTTAAATTACATCTTGATCATGAACTATTACCATATGTCTCACACATCAACAACAACTCATTGATAGAAGTGAGTGTACCAGAGGATTTTGACACTGAATTTTTGAATCTTGAAATTGCCGTTAAAGTTGTAAATGGATTGGAAGAAGCAATCCAACACATCAATATACATGGTAGCAAACATACTGATTCAATAGTCACAGAAAATGAGACGGCAGCAAAAAAATTCATGCAAGGTGTTGATTCGGCTGGTGTTTATTGGAATGCCAGTACAAGGTTTGCCGATGGATTTAGATACGGGTTTGGCGCAGAAGTTGGAGTAACGTATCAATTATTATTTTTTTTGTTGGAATGAAAAATTTTTTTTTCCATTATTGCCATCATAACAATTTTATTTTCTTTATTATTTATACAAAATGTTCAGGTAAGTACAAACAAGACGCATGCACGTGGACCAGTTGGACTTGAAGGTTTGGTAATATACAAGTATAAATTGTGTGGTAATGGACATATTGTAGGAGAATTTGGTGAAGGAAAAAAAGAATATTTACATGAACCAATAGATACAAAGAAATACAATATGGGCTCTATGCTAACCAAAAGGTAGTTATGGTTCAAGAACCCCAAAATGAGTTATTGATACGATTATATTCTTCGAAATAAGGATTATAATTTTTGTCCACATTCAATTAAATTAAAAAAAAAAAATATATTATTGAACTTCGACTGCGTGATCCAAAAAAGGAAATAATTATCATTGTCAGGTGCACGAAATATTTATTTAAGGAATGGGTGCCATTTTTGATGACATATGATTGGTCAAATTTTGTTCACATGACTCACGTATAAGTTAGACCATGGGAAGTTCATTTATTTTTTACAAAATTTAAACTTCTTTTGGATGTCATTACTATTACATTTGATTTGTGCTTTTGCTTTGTAGTAAAGTCAGTCAATTAATTATAGTCTTTTTTTACCAATTATGGGTTTCAACCAAAACCGGATCCGATTAACCTGTAAATAATATGTATGGCATTATATTATATTTTAAAAAAATCTGAACAATTTCAAAGAAATTATATTTTTGTACGTTACACTGGCCCTATCCTTAATTAATACACAAAATAAATAAAATGAAATCGAGATATTATTATTAATATAAGAATCAACGGTTTGTATAACGTGGTACACCTTGCGGTATAAAATTCAATTAATTTCCTGGATATGGTTTCTAAATTTGTAGAAATCTGCATTGGTCACACACCACTGTTGATAAGTCGGCTGATTTCTCGAAAATCCGGAATTTAAAGATCCTTCCTTCGTAACCCAAAAAAAGCCAAGATCTCTTGGCCTCTTGGTGGAAAAAATCGATGGCGTTTTGTACTACTGGTCATTATTATATATAAAGAGTGGTAAAAAAACTACAAAAAAAATTTCTAGAACAATTTAATAATTTTTAATAATTTTATTTTTATTTTTAAAAATGTCAAAAAATACAAATATTAAAAAAGACAAATTATCAGCAGAATCTTCTTCCAATAATCATAACAATAATAACGATAATATCCCCTATGATCTGCCTCCACCATATTCATCAAATGTAAATGATTCTCGTGGAGTTACAGTTGAAGAAGATATAAAACCTTATCCTGAGGTGCTTTATAACCACACACTATCACCACCACCTCTACCATCCACACCTTTATTAAATCAAGCTAATCCTACGTATTCAGCAGATACAGTTTTTTTATCGTCACCCGTTCCTCTAAAAGCATTAAAAACCAAACCTACAATTACAACTTGTCCGCATTGTAAAGCAATTGTGTTAAGTCGTACCAAGTTCAAGTCAGGTTCAGCTACTTTGTTAAGTTCTTTGGGCTTATTTTTAGTTGGACTTACTTCATGTTGTTGTTGTTTATTCCCATTTTGTGTAAGTTTATATTATTATTATTATTATTTGCATTTTATATATTTTTACTTTTCTCATTTGAATTAATAAATGATTTTATTATTATTATTAAAATTTTTTATAGATTAATGATTTAAAAGACTGTGTTCATTCGTGTCCAAATTGTGGTAAAGTCATGGCAAAATACTCAAGACTTGAAGGAAAGGCTCATATAAAATAACCGATTCACATATTATATATATAAATAATATCAAATGCATATGTTATTCATAGATTCATCAACTTTTAATTTTATTAAATATATACTTTTTAATTATATAATAATTTTTTTGACAAATTTTGAATTTCTCTTATTCACACATTCTCTGATTTTATATCATATAATAAAAAAAGATTTGAAATTTGAAATTTTTCCTTTTTATTACTTTTATTACTACTATTGCTATTATATTTGCTACTACCACCACCGTTACCACCACCACTATTATTATTATTACATAAAATTTCTGATCAGTTCCGATCTAATCCTTGATACTGTTGTGCGTGAAATGAAATCCATGTGAATTTGCAATTCACGTGAAATTCAAATTAACCAATCAGAATTTCATATCCAAACACCCCACCCCAAAATTTCACATATATACAACAATACTAAAAATTCTTTAATATGGTGCGCGAAGTCTATAACCACCATTTTTGCACATGATTTTTGAAAGAATAGAAGTCCATCTCTGTCGATTCTTTTTAAAAAATAACTCTGTTGTTGCATAGATCGAGACTCAACTTTACCACAACATATATATTTTTCAAATACAGTCAACCCCCTCTAAGTGCACGCTTTCATTCATTCCCAAGCTCGGGAATTAGAGATAAGTACACACCCCTTCCCCCTGCACTGCACGGTCTTTTTTCATTCACATATATATAAAACTCCCTCTCCTAAGTTCACTTCCGTGACTTTTACGTGGTCGTTGTCCAATAAAAATTGTGCGACGTTATTAATTAAATCTGGTCAAATTATATAACATTTATTTCATATTATTGTAATTTTTTCTTGGACGAATACATTGATACAATTATATTTATTTACTATTTATATTATTTATTACTATTATTTTAATTCTAATTTCGGTTGTTAGATTTATTCTTGGCAATTAATATTAATAAAATTCATTCTTGGCATTTGTATTGTTATCCAAATTGTCAATTTGGACTAGTTACACAACAAATTTCACACACGTATATATAGTAAAATTTTGTCTATTCTATCAAATAACGCTAAACCAAGTGTGGTTTTGATTTTTTTCTAAAAATTCTTTGATTGATTACATTTATATTCATTATTTGTATTTAAATATTATTATTTGCATTTCACACGAGAAAATCATTTCCCGGGACCATCCGTTGCCTTTAATGGGTTCATTAATGGAGATTCAATGAAATCATGAAGATTTAGCTGAAATTTGGTTGGTAAATTTACAAATTATGATAATATCCATTTGTTATCTTAAGTGATATTTTCATATAAAAATAATAATACAGTCAACCCCCTCTAAGTGCACCCCCCTTGGGAATGAGTGATAGCGTGCACTTAGAGAAACAAAGCATTTCATTGGTTGCACGTGACTCCAATAAAGAATAAAAAAAATTTTATATAATTATTGATTAAGATAAGATTCTATTGTAGTTTGC